CAATTTATTAAACTATTTACTCGAAATTGTTATTAAAATCTATAAAATAATTTTGTACGCCAATGTATCGCGTCCACTTCGGTGAGATCCGCTGCCAACCTGTCAATTTATGTGTATAAAGTGGGAGAACTGGCAAAAGCATTTCCAACTTTTACTTCTGTTCTACATATCTTTTGTCATTTTTTTTTGGAGAAAAATACGTGAAAAACCTCAGCAAATAAATTTAAATTTTTAGTTTTTTGTATGTTTGTATTGTTTTATTTTTTAAAATTTGCTTTTTTTTAAAATAAAATTTATTTTGTATTTAAGTATGGGTTTTATTTTCTAAACTGTGGTACGGCATTACAAAAAAAAATTGAATATGCCATGATTATTCAAAATACCATGAATATAGGCATACATAGATATCCTCAGTAAATCCAGAGAATATGCCATACATATATTTTGGCAGATAAAAACATATCGTGGGCATATGTTTCATGGTGACCTTGAATATTCCTGTAATCTTCCTGTCATATGCCAGGGCGGATATGGCATATCCATGGAATATAGGAGTATGCAGTTGAGATATGCATTGAATATTCATGCAATATTTTTGTGCTGTCTGGGTATTTTATAAAATAAGCTTCTTTCTTTGTGGAGATCTAAAAAAGTCATCCGCTCGTATTTTTATAAACCATCAGGTCCTTTTTCTGAGGAGCTTCTCAAAAAAGGTCAAAAATTGTCTAAAAATTTTGCATGTATAACTTTGAATTTAAAAAACGTAGTATTTAGATGAAATGCGAGGCATTTTCGTACTTTGGCGTAAGGCGTGTCAGCAAGTTAAAAAACGGGGCAATTACGCCTAAAGAGGAACGTCTGGCAACTCTAGCTAAGCACCTAGATATGGACGCATTTAAGGTTTCTGTAAATGGAAATACAATTTATTTTTAAGATAGCCAAGATTTATTGAAGAATACGGCAAAAGGTTTGATTCCAAAGCAGCTACAAGACCAAGGAAAATAGGAAAATATAGTCACTACTAACACAAAACCAAATAAATTATTAAATTATTTTACACTATTCAATCGAAAAGTGTCAAAATAACTTGAAAGTTCGTCCCGCATTACGCCATGCGCGGTTTGGACGAATTTTGAATCGAAAGTCAACATAACATCTATGTGTATGATGTTTAACACTGAAGTTAACTACTGTCGAAAAAGAATTGTGACAATTATGACAGCCAGTGGCAGATCTATTACTATTAGGTCTTTTCCTTTGCATCGAAAGTGTAGCACTGACCCACATAGCACACGGACGTCTTATGGACGTCTAAAAGACGTCCTTCAGGGACATAAAGGACGTCCGAAGGACGTCCTATTGTGGTACCGGAACGTCCTATTGTGGTACCGGAACGTCAATCGGACGTCCCATGGACGTCCTAATGTCCCGTTTTCGTTCATCTTAGGGACGTCCCAGGGACATCCCAAAAGGACATCATAGGGACCTTTGCGGGACGTCCTAGGGACGTAAATCAGACGTCCGAGGAACGATATTTGAACATAATCCATAAAGGGTAATAATAACAAAAATGTTAACAATAAAAAAGCTTTATTTAACAACTTTTATCCTAAAAAAACTAGCTAGAGTTAAACGTTTTCAGTTTACAAAAAAAAAACAGGAATGAATTAAATTTAACACACAGCGCTGGCAAGATGAAACCTTGGGTCCTACTTATAGCTTGTGTCGACATAACTGAGTATTATAATTTTGTCAAAATTAGATTTGTTCCAACTTTCCGCCATTAAGGTATTTTCTTTCCGCCAGCGGCTACCGCCAATATACATCACTTAATTATTGTCATCTCAACACAAAACACTCACTGCACTTTATAACCACTTTTCCACCAACATCAAAAAAATAACAAATAACACTATATAACCTTCTTTTTTCTTCGTTAATCTAACTCACTTATATAAAAACAAAACGTTGAATTTCAAGTTATCGATTCAAAGACCAACGATGCTAGTACATAGAAAGTTCCATAAACGTCCCTTGGACGTCCCGGACTCGGGCCGAAAACTAAACGCTTTGTCGAAACGGGACCAAAATAGGACGTCCAGAGGACGTCCTTCTAAGGACGTCCTAGTGTTCACTGTAATCGGAAGTCCAGTGGACGTCCTATTCAGGTCCGGGACCAACCGGACCAACAAGGGACCAAATCAGGACGTCCATGGGACGTCCTGTGGAGCTACACCACTTCTGAAAATATCTTTCCGTTTATACAAATTGTATGGATAGAACGATATTTTCAGAAGTGACGTAGCTCAGCGCTACACTTCCGATGCAAAGGAAAAGACCTTTTATTACTAACCACGCCACAGAAATTTACGAATCTAGTATCAACTCGAGGGATAACTAGAGTTTGGAGACTTCCTCGGAATTCCTCCTGACTTCCTAGGACTTCCCCGGAATTCCTCCTGACTTCCTCAGACTTCCCCGGACTTCCTCCTGACTTCCCCCGACTTGCTTTGACTTCCTCCTGACTTCCCTGGACTTCCTCTGACTTCCTTCAGACTTTCCCTGTCGTGTACAAGAGATTTCCCCGGCGGTTAACCCCTCGTTCAAAACCAAATCTTAACTTGCATAACTACAATACATAATACACAAACAAAAATTCGCGATATCTGACAATGTCATGCGCATTATCAAGTTAGTGTCAATATAAACTAAACATGTTTAAATCAGATTATTAAAACGTCATGATAATAACGTCACATTTCTAATAACTGATTTAAAATCGCTTAATGTAATACGTAATTTTTTCAAAGTGGCTTCTTGTATTCGTGTAAACGCACCTTAATAACGTTTACGCTACTAAGCAACAACAAACCGCAACTGAAATAAGAAGACGCGTGCAAATTAAAAGCGATACTCTTTTGTCAGAGAACTTGGGGTATTTCTATCACTATACCACACTATCTACATCTGTTATCTTTAAATCAATTTTAAACTAGCAGGTAGATATACAGGGTGTTATTGAAATACACGTACATATTAAAATGGAGAATAGTATGTAATGACCAAAAACGATTGGCACCAATTTTAACTTCAAATTCTAAAATTTAAATATTGGGGAAGAGTCCCCTTTTCCGACCTACTAGTTTCCATATTTAAAGAAGTAAAATAAATCGAAATTGAACTTACCCATAGAAATTGCACTGTTGCCGTAGCAAAACCAATTAATTCAAAATAAAGTTTATTACAGTAATTGTTCAAAATGCCGTCCATTATTATTTACACACACTTGCAATCGTCTTTCCAAAGAACTTTGAACATTAGAAATTAGTCTTGGATTTTGTCGTAGTTCCTCGGCTACCGCATTAACTTTATTGGTTAATTGTTCAACACTATTAATAGGTTCATTATAAACCAGTTGTTTCATGTGACCCCACAAAAAGAAATCGCATGGATTTAAGTCCGGAGATCTCGGAGGCCACTTAGTAGGTCCATTTCTGCCTATCCACTTTTGAGGAAATCTAATGTTCAAAAACTGCCGTACGTTTAAATCAAAGTGAGGAGGAGCGCCATCTAGTAGGTACCACATCCGTTGCCTTAATTGTAACGGTATCTCTTCTAGGAGTACTGGCAAAATATCTTCTAAAAAGTTGAGATATCCTGGCTCATTTAATCTGTTCGGGAGAACATAAGGCCCGATTAAATACTGATCTATTATGCCAGCCCAAACATTTATTGAAAATTTTCTTTGATGCGCAGTTTCCCTAATGGCGTGAGGATTTTCATCACTCCAAATATGCGTATTGTGCATATTGAACACGCCATCACGAGTGAATGAAGCCTCGTCAGTATACAATAATATTTTTAGAAAATCAGGAATATCATCACATTTTTTAATCATCCATTCACAAAACTCCACTCTTTTTTCTTCATCACCTGGATATAAGGCCTGGACTTTTTGGATGTGATAAGGATGTAAACCTTGTTCTTTAAGTGTCCGCCACACAACAAATGAGGACACTCCAATTTCAAGACCTAGTCTTCTACAACTTAATTGAGGCCGGTTTTCAACAGCTTCCAATATTTCTTCTTCGGCCGCCAATGTTCTTTCTGTTCTTATTCTCCCTCGATCTGCATTGACACTCTCAAATTTTCCATGGTCTCTTAGATGCTGAACAGTTGAAATAAACGTACGACAGTCCGGAATTCTCCGATTTGGAAACCGTTCGCGATACAGGATTTGTGCTTGCCGAGAATTTTCTCCAGCTGCCCCATAAACCAGCACTATATCCGTTAAATCAATATTCGTAAATAGTGGCATCGTAAAAAAATATTTAAAAGTAATCGTAACAACACTTTTTACCAACTTGGAAATGAAGCTCTCGTGTTAGCCAGATTCGTAAATCAACTAAAATTTTAATAATCTATAGTTTCAAAAATGTATAGTTTAAAAACAATCATTTATCAAATATTCTAGTTTTTTGATAACGAGGGTAGTAAAAACCAGTCTTCGGAAATAGAAATTAATTCGAAAATATTGGCAACATGGTTATTTCTTACAAGACTAGTTTTCTTATCATCTGACAAAAACTTGCATATTAATTACTGTTGATGTTTAAAATAGGTAAATAAACCTAATTTATATAGGTCATCTTCAACATATCAGTGAAGTACGTTTGTTTTAGAATTAATTTTCAAAAATTAATAACTCCCTTAATGAGGGGTATTTTTAAAAAATAATATTTTTCTACATTCAGTGGGGATCTGCGCAATACCCAGTTTTAATATGTACGTGTATTTCAATAACACCCTGTATAGCTGGTGATATTTCAATATTACGTCAACGCAGATTAAAGGGTAAAGGGGATATAACGCAGAACAAAGCAACGCAAAGGAAAAAGTACATATGCCCTGGAAAAAGGTCGAGATGAAGATGGCGATGATCTACGTATGTCATATCTCGAATACAAAGTATTAATGAAATAGAGTTTTACTATACTCACTGGCGTTATTGATCGTCTACCCTTCCTAGAATTACTCGATTTATCCGTTTCACTAGTAGGAGATCCCGGTTTAACGTTATTTGTACTAACAACTGTCTTCGGTGTTGTAGTACTATTCGAATCCGATTCGTTCTCATAGCTACCAGTCTCATCTCTATCAGTCTTGAAAACGGCCTGTTCGCTCTTTGTCTTATTCCCAAACTCGAGTTCAGAATCTCTGTTGAAATCTGGAGAACTCAGATCAGACTCGCTGCTCGACGTTGACTGAGGGGAATCAGATCGAACGATGGGTGTATTCCCGTCGGGATATCGCAGCTCCGAAGGAGGATTATATACGGTTTCTACATCTACGCTAGACGAAAAACTCATGTGTTGTGCGTTGGCTTTTCTTTGCTCGTGAAGGGAGTTGTAGCCCGGAGATAGATCGGAAGAAACCATTTCGGAGACGAAGTCACTCAAAGACGAGTAGCTAGAGCTAGTACTTTCTCCTTCATCGGAATCCGAACCGCTTTCGTCTGTTGGTTGGTGTTCGACGGTTTGCATACTTCTTAAAGCACCTAAAATGTAGATTTTTAGTAATAGTATGTTTTTGGTTTATTGCTACTAATGGTTATTTTTTAACAGAACTTAGTCCTCCACAAATTCTCAACCTAAAAAATATAGTGGGTATTTAAAATATTACCATTAAGAGAACTGCCATCATCCCATACAACGAACTTAATGGGCTCCAAAGTATGCCAGTACCACTTCGGCTTGTCTCCTATTAAGGCAGGATCCAGAACGCCGGTCTGGACCCTCTGGAAGGCAACATTTGTTGGTGTTAACGACCATTCGGCTAAGAATTCAACCGCTTGAGTTCTAGCGAATCGATTCAAAAAATGAGACGCTCTTGGACGAGATCTCAAGAAGCTATTTATTTGAAAAGCTACTACGGGTCTCGGATAGAGCCGTAAGGTTCGGCTGTGTTCGGAAAAATTGGCTAAAAGGTTTTGGGAGTTGAAGAATCGTACCTGAAATAAATACATTTTTTTTTCGATCATTATTCACATAATATCAATTGAGTACTTACCATAGCGACCCGAGTAGCTACATCAACAGAATCGATATCGTTTCCATAAATAAAAGGATTAAATCCACTGGAAGGCGAAGGTGGGCGCATTGGTGGTATATAAGGTACTTGCGGTGTTAGCGATAACCTCGGTTGAACATTGGGAGTCACGGGTGATAAAGCTGGTGTTGATTCTTCAGATTTTCCTTTTGGTATGCTAAGAAACGTAAGTCAAAATAAGTGGATTATTAAAATGTGATTAGATAATAAGTATAGTTCTAGATATTCCTAGCCTTCAGCAAGCTATTTTTTATGCATTTATATCCACGGTAGGCAAATTCTTAGTATTTTATGCCATGAATGCCATTAACTATCGTAAAGAAACTCACAGGAGATAGGATTTCTAAAATTCCAGCCACTTTTTAAAGTTATAGATATTTAGCTATTTGCCTCAGTGGCAGGATAGTGGTAAAAGATAAGTTTAGAACAAAGACGAATTATTAAAGCGAATATGGCATTAACTGCACAGCTATTGCCAAGGAAATCCAGATGTTTAATAAGATTGTACTTTTGTAAAAGAAAACGTACAAAATTGTAACATCATCATATACTTTCACCAATTTAAAAAATATGTATACTATTAAGGATGTCAGAGAAGAAACATCAATTCTATGAAAATTATTTTTTTTTAATAACAACATAATATCTAATATCTAATAACTAGGAATTACGAACAATAGCTGAAAACATGGCTATAACTAGAATGGCAAGTAAAAAAATTAATAATAAAGGCCTTTTGATTTTGATTTTTTATGTTTCTTTGGCATTTTTTTTAATATACACACTCCTAATGAAGAGATATGGCTAAGATTTTAAATATTTATTTCTTTTTTTTTTATTAGCTGTTATTTATAATAAAACCATTAACATTATTTAAATTTTAAACTTAGATACTAATTCTAATTTCAAAAAATTTCGTATATAAACAAACATGAGTTTACGACTTTTTAAAAAATAAAAGTGTCTGATATCACAGATAGAAATAATATTACTGGATCTGTATGAATAATGACGAGGTGGGTCGGAAATCTAAAATGATTACATTTTAATCATATCATTGTTGAAGAAAATTTTTGTGACAGGTGTGGAAGTTAACTATACGAGGAATATATACAGGTAACGAAGGATGAAGAAGATAATAAGAGTTATTGAAATTGTTTACAATTTCGTTGTATTTTTAAGTGAAATTTTATAATTTGGTATTATATGATTATGTTCTTAGTCACCTGTAGTTAGGGTTGCCATATTCAAAAATATAATTTCCTGGCATACTATAAAATGGGGTGATTAGGAACAGCAGGGCGAATAGGATTGCAAGTTACTCTTAATTTTCAAAAATTTGCAATAATTCAAATTCAAAATAGAAGGTCTCTCCAATGCACAAATTTCAATTAGTTATTTTTAGATGTAGTTTCTGTGACATAAAACGTACGAAAGCTTGGCAACATCGCATGCTGTCTACCATAACCTCAAATGTGAAATTAAGCCGCGAAAATATTGTCCCAGAAAGTTGAAAGGTCTAGTTAAACACAGAACTTAAAAAAGGTGAGTGTTATTATTTTTAGTAACCTTTTTTATTACTTATGTGAAATCCGTACGAAAAATCCATAATTAGCAACAGGTTTTTATTTTGTAGGTGATCCAAAACAAAAAACACCTGTTGATCGAGATCGCGGGGTGAATAGAATCACAGCTGTTTGACATCCCTCGTGTTTATAAGCCCAACCCACATGGAAAAAGATACCGCAAGCATGATCCGGAAGTTATCGCAAGGGCTAAGGAGGCTGTCGCCCGCGGAATGGAATGACAATAAGGAAAGCTGCTGAGCGTTTTAAAATACCCTATACAGTATTACAAAGACGAATTAAGAAGCGAAACGTTAAGAAACAAGGTGGACAGACCACATTGAGTGAAAAAGAAGAATTGTTAATCGAAAAAATTCAGTTATCTGCCGAATGGGGGTATCCGTTAGATCTGTATGGCTTAAGACTAATAGTTAAACATTATTTGGATCAACAGAAAACAGCCCTCAATACCCTCTCAGGAGTACAGAGGCTGGCATGCCTTTGTATAACAGGAGCACTGAGAAGTACACCGACAGCCTCTATGGAAATCATTCTAAACCTCCCACCCCTTGACTTAGTCATAAAGGGGGAGGCCAGAATGAGTGCATACAGACTGAAAATCTCCAACAACTGGAACCCACTGGGACATATAAAACATACCAGAATAACACATGAATTAAATTATTCTATATTAAATATAGGATCAGATCACATGACACCCCTCCTAACCTTTAACAGACTCTTCCAGGTCAACTGTAACTGGAACGAGGTAAATAAGGAGATAGATAAATACTTGCTTAGCGGCCTCGTATGGTATACGGATGGATCTAAAACTAACAAGGGAACAGGCTCTGGCGTACATGGAGTTAAACCCAAATGCGACATCATCGTCTCACTGGGAAAACATGCCACTGTATTTCAGGCTGAAATACATGCAATTGAATTGTGTGTACGAGAGAATTTAAGAAGGAAGTACAAAAAACAAACCATCCTAATTCTCTCAGATAGCCAGGCAGCTTTAAAGGCTCTTGATTCAAACAGAATTAAGTCAAAGCTTGTCTGGAACTGCCTTGGAATGCTAAATGAACCCACAACAAGGTAAAACTGGCGTGGGTACCAGGACACAAAGGTATCCAAGGAAATGAAAAGGCTGATGAACTCGCCAAAGAGGGATCAGATCTACCATTCACAGGACCCGAACCTGTATTTGGGATAAGCAAAACCTGTGCACGACAGGCAGTAAACAGGTGGATAACCATAAAAAAACAAATTCACTGGCAACCGATAAGAGGGCACAAAATCAGTAAGCTCATGCTAAGAGGACCAAACCCACGCATGACTACTGAGGCACTACAACTCGCGAGGCCTCAGATATCCAACATTGTGGGATTATTAACGGGCACTGCTTGCTGAAACACCTTCATGTAATGGGATTACACAATGATCCCACTACGTGTAGACTTTGCATGGAAGAGAAAGAAACCTCATACCATGTGATCTTCGAATGCGAAGCTCTTACTGGGCGACGTTTCATCCTTTTCGGCCTAGAACCGGAAAGAACGCCCCAGGAACACTTGGTAGGGAACCTATTAAAACTAACCAAAGACACAAAACTATTCCAAAGACCCAAGAGGCCACAGTGTTCTGGGCCAAACCTAACCCTACCTGCTTACAACCGATAAAGATAAAAAAAGAAACACAAGATTTAACTCAACCTAGTGGTTGGTTTGACAACAGGACCTTTACAGACTGGATCAAAACAGTTGCTTGCCCATATCTCGCGAAATTAGAAGGCCAAAAAGTCCTTATCGGGGATAACCTTTCATCCCACTTGTCCACTGAAATAGTATTACTTTGCCAGAAGCATGATATTCGTTTTGTATTTTTGCCAGACTACGCGACCCACTTAACACAGCCTTTGAAAATAGCTTTTTTCAGGCCATTAAAAATGGCTTGGCGCAAAATACTTTTACAGTGGAAACGAGGCCTTGGCATGAATGAACCTTCACTTCCAAAAAGTGTATTCCCAATTTTATCTAGATTAATCGCTGAATTTCAACCGAATGCATCGCAAAACATAAAAAATGGATTTTGCAAAGCTGGAATTATTCCGATTAACAGAAATAAGGTTCTTCAGATGATTCCAAAAGATGAAGTTGAAAATAATGATATTAACCAGAATCTAGATAACTCGTTTAGGGATCTTCTCAAAGAAATGAGATACGGCGATGGACCAAGGAAAAAAAATCTGGGAAAAAAATTGCTGTAGAGGCAGGAAAAAGTGTGCAGTATGATGAGAATCCAGAGAGCGGTGAAGAACAGGGTGAAGATATTGAAATAAGTTCAGCTGAAGAAGCGGAAATGGAGTTCAGTGATGGATCATTCAGTGATGTGGCAGTTGAGTTACCGAAGAATACCAACTCTATAAAATCCTCTATCAACAAATTCGGAAAGAAGTTCGTAAATGTGTCCCCAATAAATACAGAAGAAGAAATTAAGAAAAATGATTGGCTCTTGGTGGGTTTTCCCACTGAATCAAAAAAAAGTAGCGCCAGCAACAATCTACGATTTTTTATTTGCCAAATAATGCAAAAAAAATCCGAATTGTATTGTGGGTAATTTTCTACGAGGGAAACAGACGAGAGATTTTCCTGGTTATATCTACCAATTTCCCGATGAAAAAGAACTGACCGAATTTTCTTTTAACCAAGTTGTGGGAAAAGTAGAACCCCCAAGTAAATATTTAAGGGGATATTTAAAGTTTCAGGTTGATTTCAACGCTTTTTAATTTCTTGTTTGCTTTTTATAGTTAACTATAACCCAATGAATTCTTGTTCCGTTGGTCAAATATTATGTTTTCGGTATTTATATAACTTTTGTACCTGTTTTAAATTCAAATAAGTACATTTATTTAAATAAATAGTTTAAAATATTTTTTAAAAATGAAAATTGTTGATCCTTTTCGCCCAGCGTGTGTTTAAATGCGATAAAGACCATAAAACAGTTAGTGATTCTATTAGCACCACCTACGGGGTGAATAAGATCAGAGCCAAAAAATATATATGTGAAGGCATGTGCCCTATATAAAAACTAATATAGACATTTATAAGTACTACCCTTGACTACGTGCGCTACGTTTCGAAGTTACAAGCTTACAAAATCGAAAACCGACCCTATTCACCCCGTTTTACGGTACCTAATAAAAATTCTTTAAAAATCAGGGTATAATAATAAAACTTCAACTTATGAAATAATTTTTTAAAAACGTTAATTTTGAGAGCCAAAAGAACTATTTATACGGCATTTTAAGTTTACCTTAATATGTTAGATGATTTTTCTGAAAATTCAAGATAATTTTAATTCCCGACGCATTCCGGAGAAAACTTCAAAATTCTAGACATGTCCGGACTTTTCCTGCTGTCTGATAACCTTACCTGTAGGTAAAGATTGTTGGCCAATTGGCCAACCATATTGTTACCTGTAATTCCGGTATAATTTTTTGACCAAATAAATGTAATGTCCTTAGTCCTTATCTTACTTTTAATATTATGCGATAGTCTGCAATTTTTATGCTTTATGTCCATGATAACTTTGTAGAAAAAATCTACTATTAATTCATCAGCCAAAAATCGGTACAGGTGGATCTGTATTTTACCTTGAGAGAGGAGCCCCTTGTCCATAAGATCAAATGCTGGATAACGGCGAATTGTTTTATTTAATTATAACAAGAATGAAAAAAAAAAATTTAAATATGCCACGACTAAATCATTTATTTGCTTGTAGGAAACTCAAACCTCACGCTGGTAGTAAACGAAGGGATTGATTGAATGTTGAAAGAGAGTGTTTCTTAGCAATAACGAAATAACCGATTTCAAGGCATTTTGTTGTGTCGAAGTTTAAAATTGGAGTGAGTATGTAGCGATAGATATAAATCGGACCCCAAGATATGTTGACTGCTGGAAGTTTGAAAGCGGAGTGATGGTTAGCAAGAAATGAAACGATGTGTACACTTAAAGGTGAAGTGGGAAACTTGTCGGTTCTTGTGTGTAGAGGGCGTGCCCAACTGATGAGCATTATAATCATCACGTGCAATTCGTTAAAAAAAATTTTCATTTCTATTGAGTAGGAGAGAGAAATGCTACAATGCAAGAGATAAATTATATTCTGGAATGCGGAAAATATATTTAGCTTATACTATATCTTGGATGCCTGGGTTGATTGTACCTGGCTTGAACGCAGGGGCGAGTTAGAGAATGCTATGTTTAAATTTTAAGAATATGTTATGAGTTATGAAATTAAAACAGTTAATATCTATTAATATAATTTAATGGAACATATTTTGTGTCTAATATAATCACTGCTTGATTTACTTCATATGGATCTAACCAAGTACGTGCATTTTCAATGGCTACAGCTTCGTCTATAAACATAGAATAGTGTCGAAAGTTTTTTTTTAGATTCATCAGTATAGAGAACTATTTTATTATTATATTCACTAAATATTACTTTTAGAAGATATTTAATTATTTGTGAATTTTGAGAATAGTGCAGAATTCAACTTTTTTGTTTTCAAAGTGGTAGTTGATAATTATAGTCTTAAGCACGGGTAGTTTTCATTATTTTTATAAATATTAGAAATATTACTAGTTTGTAGAAAAGAATTACCAAACCTGAGTAGTTAAGTCTGGCATAGAACTATCTCTTGGTATTAATTTCAATAAATTGTATTTTAAAGTTTGATAGAAAGTGGCTTCATTCGTACCTATGAAAATTTATACTATTTTAATTACCTTAAACTATTAGGTGAAGCTAAACTTTCCCTCCTGGAAGGTTGTAGTTGTTGCGTAGCTGTAGATGGAGATGCTAAATTCGTAATGGCCTATGGATCAGAAAAGTGTTTTAAATATAAGATTGTAACTTGAATTTTATTAGCACTAGCTACTTAAAAGGCATATTTGCTTTTAAATCTTAAAATAACAATATACTACAAAAAAATTAGTTATAATAGTCCAAAAAATATTTTTAACTAAATAGAAGCTATTTTTAATTAAGTACTACCTCTTCAGTGCTCAAAATTGCCTATATTTTAGTTAGAAGCAGCTATGGTGTGATTTTTTTTATTTTTTTTATATTTTTTAATTATTAGGATTTTTTATAATTAATTTTTATGAATAAAATAAAATAGCTATAAAAATTGAATAGAAAAGTTAACTAAATTACTAGTCAAAACAATGTAATATTTTAGTGATTAAATGTAAAGCTTTACAAAACAGTCATACATAATTCTAGAATATATTTGAAAGCTTTAAAAAAATAGATATTAGTAAATTATGTAAAAGATGTTAAAAAAGTATTATGTAACAGTAACACATTTTATTTGAAAAAATCAATTTAATTCCTAAAAGATCGAGCAAGATTGCTTTTCACCTAACTAAAAATTTTAATTCAAAAATTGAACACAATCAAAGTCAGGGAATGTCAGTTGATATGGAAAAAAAGTCCTAGTTTTATGTGAGGAATCTACCCTCGGACGTTGGCCGATGTTTTTTAAATCCTTATTATACGTTTAGTTCCGTCCGTCAGATGTCACGTTTTTAGCCACACGATAAAACAATTTGAAAATTTCAGGAAAAATCAAGCTACATAAAATCTGAATAAAAATGGGGGGATTAAGTAGGGGTTGAAACATTAAAAAAAACCTACCTCAAAAACGAAAAATAATATTAACTTTTAGCAAAAATCAAGCTCTACAAGGGGATAAAACCTATTTATTTTGAAAAAATTGAATAAAATGGGGGTCAAGGGGGTTAAAATTAAAAAAAATAGAAATTAAAAACCAAAAGCAATATCAACATGAAATGTTTAGTAAAAATAAAGCTCTATAGGGGAATGAATAAATAAATAAAAATGGGTAGATATGGGAGAGAAGGTTGATATATTGAAAAAATCCTAACTCAGAAATAAAAAACGATATCAAATTGAAACCATCAGAAAAAATCAAATTTTATACTAAATGTACCTGTAGTTTTAATGTGAGTCGACGGTTTTTGTATTACATGAACGATGTCACATATGTCGGAAAAACATCACGTGGTTTTGAGGGTGTCCGACGCCCCCAATAGGGTGGGCCGAAAAAATTTTATTTTGAATTTCAAATGTGGCTAGCGTGGAAAAGTTGTCACTTGGGTCCCTTGTTTTGCATATTTTTTTTTCTTTTTTTAATTTATATTTAGCCCCTGAGGGCTTAAAATTTTGAGATTTTGAGATTTTAATTTTTCAAAAAAAAAATCGTGGCTAGTAAGAAAACGTTAACTAGTCACCTCCTTATCATACAAAAAAAAATCATGAATATATTTCAATTTTTAGCCCAGCCCCTTTGATGAAATATAATTTAAACACGTGCGTAATGCATTTGTGCAGCGCAGTGGATGGTTGTTTGTTTGGGTACTTGTTTTGTTACCAGCAATTTGTCTAAATTTATCAGTTTTTTCAAGTTCTTACGTTGACGTTGTTGTGTCTTAACTAGTGGAATTGTTTAAATACGTAAATCGAAAACTTGTGTGTTCTTTTAAATTGTTTAATTTAGTGAACAATATGGCAAATCAAACACGTGCGACACGTGCGGGTTCGAATATTTATTTATTCGAATCAGAGAAAGATATTATTCCAGAAAAAACTATTATGTTGCCGACTTATGAAGATGTGATACGTTCTTTTTACAATGTTCGTTCGAATTTAAAAAGAGACGGAAAAAACAACCAGAATCAAAAAGAATTGCAAATATTGTTGCCGAAAAAATACAGGTAATATGGAATAGGGCTTCCCTTCACACTTTAGCTCACAAGAGAATCATTGACATGATTTTTCAATTTAATAATCACTATCAAAGAATTATAAAACCTATAAAAAGTAGAGAGACCACATTTTTAGCTGCAAAGTTAGATAAATTTAAAAATGATGCCAAACGATTATTTGATATTTGTTTCTGCAAATGTACGAACAAAATTTCCTGCAACTGTGACAAAACTCGAAAGATTCCAGATATAGAATGGCCTTTTATAGAAGATCAAAGATGTAAAAGGTAACATAGATAAAAAAAGTGACGGCAAAGCTTAAAAAAAGAATTGAAAGACAACTGAAAGATTACCAAGAAAACTCTACTAAGTAATAATAATGAGTTTAAAATGTGTTGACAAGAGCCTGTAGCCGGTTCCAGTGGAATTCATTATAGCAGCAGGGCTACTAAAAGTTCTACGATATTCAATAAAAATGATAGTGATACCTCTGCAAGCTCAGATACAAATACTGACGAAGACTTTGTATTAGAAAAGCAACCAAAACCAGAGAAGCAAAAGAGGATGTCTCAAATGAGGCATTCGTTGTTACATACTGCAAAAATCGCAGACTTGACAGGTGTCTCTAGTCGCACTGCAGCAAAAATTGCGAGTGCCGTTTTAGAAGATAAGAGGCTCATCACGAAAGACGATATAGTAAAAGTCATCGACAAGAATAAGATTCGACGAGAAGTAAATAAAAATCGACTGCGGCTACAAGAAGCGGAAACTAAAAGAAAAGTTTACATTAAAGGTCTATATTTTGATGGGAGAAAAGACCAAACCATGTTCCAGGAGAAGGGCCACCGAGTTATTAAAACGGAGGAGCACATTGCCCTAGTCGAAGAATCTGGAAGTTTATATTTCGGACATTTAGCACTCACGCAGTCACGAACGATAGATATTGTCGAGGCAATTATGAGCGACATGAAAAACCGAGGAATAGAATTAATGCAATATAATAGGAGGCATCGGTGGGTGAGGGGATGGGTAGGTGGGCGGGAGGGTGGAACTCGAGTTGCGGCCACCTCCTCGTGGTGAGTTCTGGGTTGATTTAATATTCAACTAAAAATGAATAAATATTTAATTAGATATTTTCATATTGTGAATATTGAATTACGCGAAGAGCTGCACAAAATAAAATTTTTAAGTAATATTTTTTTTCTAACAAGAGCGGGGCTGGACGAAATATTAAAATATTTTAATCATATTTTATATAAAGGCAGTAAATAGTCATTTAGGCACTAGCCTTGGAGATTTTAGGATTTTTTTTTGAGCCCCAAGGGGCCCGGCTAGAATATTTTAAAAAAATTTCATTTTTGATATAAAACATAGTCACAACCAGTCACAACTTTTCCATAATAGCCAAACTTAAATTTCGAAAAATATTTTTTTTCTAATTTTCGGCCCACCCTAGCCCCCAACATGTCGTTGTGGCGTCCCTAAAGAAGTTGATGCATGAACGTGTAGTTTTTATGATAATAGGCGGTTTTTCATGTAACATTACCAAAATCACATTTTTCGGACAAAAGTTCGTGGCTTTGGGGGGTCCGACACCACCAACATGTCGCTGTGGCGTCCATAAGGAAGTTAATACATGTATGTTCGACAAAAATAATTATGGATAACAATGTAATTTTAAAACATATACAGTAAATATCCAACAAAAAAATTGAGTATCAACGTCCGTCGGACAACAAAAGTTTAAAAAATGGTGTAACTACGTAGCATACTCTATATACAGGGTGGCCACTTGAAATCGAAACAGAACCAATTTTGGGCACCCTAGGTCATTTACGAAAAAGCGCTCGGACCCGTCAATTTTTGATTTTAGGGGGAAGCATTTTTTTCCAGTTTCACCCCCTGAACGTAGCCCATACAGTGGCTCACCAAAAGTACAAAACCGGTTTAACATAATTTTTGCAATGTTATTAAAAAAAAAAGGAATTTTTGCAACAATTCCTGTTTCATTCCTGTGGCCTTCAATTATTATAAATTAGTAAAAATTAGTTTCGTTGTAGAGTCGGCAGAAAAGTGGCATTTTTATTTAATTTTATTTATTTTTTTTATTTTTATTTATTTTTATTTATTTTTATTTATTTTTATTTATTTTTATTTATTTTTATTTATTTTTATTTATTTTTATTTATTTTTATTTATTTTTATTTAATTTTATTTATTTTTATTTATTTTTATTTATTTTTATTTATTTTTATTTATTTTTATTTATTTTTATTTATTTTTATTTATTTTTATTTATTTTTATTTATTTTTATTTATTTTTATTTATTTTTATTTATTTTTATTTATTTTTATTTATTTTTAATTATTTTTATTTATTTTTATTTATTTTTATTTATTTTTATTTATTTTTATTTATTTTTATTTATTTTTATTTATTTTTATTTATTTTTATTTATTTTTATTTATTTTTATTTATTTTTATTTATTTTTATTTATTTTTATTTATTTTTATTTATTTTTATTTATTTTTATTTATTTTTATTTATTTTTATTTATTTTTATTTATTTTTATTTATTTTTATTTATTTTTATTTATTTTTATTTATTTTTATTTATTTTTATTTATTTTTATTTATTTTTATTTATTTTTATTTATTTTTATTTATTTTTATTTATTTTTATTTATTTTTATTTATTTTTATTTATTTTTATTTATTTTTATTTATTTTTATTTATTTTTATTTATTTTTATTTATTTTTATTTATTTTTATTTATTTTTATTTATTTTTATTTATTTTTATTTATTTTTATTTATTTTTATTTATTTTTATTTATTTTTATTTATTTTTATTTATTTTTATTTATTTTTATTTATTTTTATTTATTTTTATTTATTTTTATTTATTTTTATTTATTTTTATTTATTTTTATTTATTTTTATTTATTTTTATTTATTTTTATTTATTTTTATTTATTTTTATTTATTTTTATTTATTTTTATTTATTTTTATTTATTTTTATTTATTTTTATTTATTTTTATTTATTTTTATTTATTTTTATTTATTTTTATTTATTTTTATTTATTTTTATTTATTTTTATTTATTTTTATTTATTTTTATTTATTTTTATTTATTTTTATTTATTTTTATTTATTTTTATTTATTTTTATTTATTTTTATTTATTTTTATTTATTTTTATTTATTTTTATTTATTTTTATTTATTTTTATTTATTTTTATTTATTTTTATTTATTTTTATTTATTTTTATTTATTTTTATTTATTTTTATTTATTTTTATTTATTTTTATTTATTTTTATTTATTTTTATTTATTTTTATTTATTTTTATTTATTTTTATTTATTTTTATTTATTTTTATTTATTTTTATTTATTTTTATTTATTTTTATTTATTTTTATTTATTTTTATTTATTTTTATTTATTTTTATTTATTTTTATTTATTTTTATTTATTTTTATTTATTTTTATTTATTATTATTTATTTTTATTTATTTTTATTTATTTTTATTTACTTTTATTTATTTTTATATTTATTTATTATTTCTTTATATTTATTTATTTTTATTTCCCTCCCTTAAAATGTGAAAATCCAAAAACCCTGAAACACGTCATTATTAATTTGTACTCAGTAGCTGCAATTCCAATTGTCATGTTGCTAACTTTAAACAAAACCAAAAACATGAATACTCTCAAATAAACTTTCACCCCTATTTCGCCCCCTTAAAATGTGAAAATCCAATTACACACGTCAAACGTCATTAATAATTTGTAGTCAGTAGCTGCAATTCCAATTTTCATGTTTCTAACTTCAAAGAAAACAAAAAAAATCGATAGTCCCATACAAACTTTCACCCCCCGTTTTCCCCCTTAAAATGTGAAAATTCAAAAATCCTGAAACGCGTCATTATTTATTTATACTTAGTAGCTGTAATTTAAATTTTTATGTTTCTTACTTTAAAGAACAAAGAGTTTCATTAAAAGCTGGCTCCCCACATTTCTTCCCATTTCCCTCCTTTAAAGTTAAAATTTCGACCTGCGACTTAGATTGTACCAAACTTTGGTATATTATTTTTTGTTTTTTTTCTAAAAATATCAATAATTGCCTTAATTTAAAAAAAAAACACTACAGGACAGATATTGTACAGTTATTTGTTATTAAACCATTTTTTTAATCGTTAATTCATTTTATAACCCAATATATATTTTTATTTTACACTATCAAACAAAATGTGTACTATTCTGGTTATAACTGAAATTCCAGAGAAGATAGAAAAAAGTACTTCATAAAAAAATTTGCAAGCGTATGAAAAAATTATCAGCCATATTCCAAAATGTACATGCTTAATATTTTTTTAACATGCATAACACTAATTTCCAATGACTTTGAGATTCTAAGAATCTTTTTATATAAAAAAGGCTCTCTCGGGTATTCGGCTATTTACTTTCAGTCAAAATTTTACATGAAAAAGTGAAATTAATGAATATAAATAATAATCATATTGTTACATTGTAACTCTCATTTTTACTCTTGTTTTCATCTATAGGATGGATTCATAACCGTCTAAGCCCAGAGTAGGGACGTTACTTTTGTGATGAAACAATGTAGACGTTGCGGTGATATTATAGATTATACCGCTACTTTGTTACGTTATTCAACGTTAATGGAACTTCCCAAAAATGATGTCTTTTTAACAAACCAGATGTTACATTCCTGTCATAACCAAGACTTCTTGTAGATGTTATTATAAATCCCATAAAATAAAATCATATTAATGAACTAAATGTGACGTTCATACTTTTTATTTTTATCTTAATTTTATATGGACTATAAATATTTTATACATTTCATCTATATAAAACAGAATAGAAATAAATAAATAAATTTCAAATCAAAAGCTTGGAAGACAAGTTAAACTTCTATTCTAATCCCAGGAAATTTTACAGAAAAAGTATAATAATACAATGGTCTAAAGTCTAAATCAATATCAAAGGTAACAGTAAGAACTTTCATGAAATACTTAAAACTGAGCATCAGACTCCTCCATAATACAGTACTACCGATTACATAAGTAGCAAGCGATCATTGGTACCTCCATCTATGAACGCAGGACGTACTGTTAGGTCTGCCAAGTCTGAGATGTAAAGAATAAAGATAGCCATCTTAAAGATGTGTAACTTGTACACATTACTGTGCTGACCTGTATGCGATATTATTGTGAGTTATACAAATTAACATCGTATAAATGTTTGTCACAGGAAGTAACTAAAAAGAAATACAAAAGATGTTTATGTAACTGCAAATTGAAGTACATATTCCAGCGTACATGAAACTTCATTTGTAGATATATGAGAGGAATGTTAATGAATATGATGTTAAAATTTAAACATCTATGGGATATTTTAGCATTGTTTTAAAAATATATCAAGAAAAGTCTCTATGAGAAACGCTACAAAAAAGACTGGTTTAGTGGGTAAGGCGCTTGATTGTGTCAATCACAAAGTATTGTTAGAAAAATTTCGAGTATACGGAATCGAAGACGAAGCGCTGATAAAATTTTATCTTTCAGAACGTAAGCAAATGGTAAGTTTTAGATAAAGTTGTGGGTTCTCACAGGATTCTGTGTTCCCATTTTATTCCTTCTTTATACGATGTGCCCAATTAAGTGGGCACCATATGGAAACTTTTCTATTGTTGATTTTATGAAAAAAGTTATTCTTTATAAAAAGTTCGGCATGGTCTAAAACTCAAAATACAATTAACAGATATTAGATTTTTTGGGCCGTATTCGAAGTGCGTCATAAAATAGATTTTGTTCAACAGTAAGTACTTTTCTAGTATACGACTGATAAAATTTGATATCAAAGGGTTGCATTTTATGTATTGTAATATGTACAACTTTTAAGAAGAATAACTTTATTTCCTTATATTAGCAATAAAAAAGTTTTTCATATGCATTGGTAATGTGTAATTTATTTTTCATTTTCCAAACTGATAATTTTGAATGTCTCTATTTTGGGATTTTACCATAACTAAGTCTAAATTTAGATGTTTAACCCATCCTCAAGAAAAACTACTAACGCCAATCTCTTTGTCAATGGAAAGTAGCGTCATCTCAATTATTACAAACAATCCTCAAAATGTGCAAAAAAATCAATATTTACTCCAGTGCCAACTTGATCCATAAGTTGCATTGCCTTGTTTGTAAAAAGCAGAAGTTGAAAATGTTATGAAAGAAGTAAGAAATATATAGAGAAGAAAAATAACGGAAATCGTTAAAAAAACGATGTCTTACCTGCTTCAAGTGGTTTTTCAAAATGGTTCCTTCCGGTTCCGGTAAAGGAGGTATTTCGGAAGGTGATATTAATTTATTTGAGTCCAAATCAACCAGCCAAACATCATCAGGTAATCTGTAAGAAATAAGGAATGTAAATTTTGTTTTTTATGTTGAGTAGGAAGTTTTTTTTTATTGATTATTTGGTAAAAGAGCTGCAAATAATTATTATAAAAGTGCTTGTTGGAACACCCTTACATGATATGGGACTATGTCAACTTGTAAAAATGGATCAAAAGAGTAAGAATACAAATAAATCATCAAATCAGCAAAAATTTATTCATATTTTTAATGCTTTTTACCTATTAGTCATGGATAGATGTTTTTTAACGATGTACTCAAGAAATATTATATGTTATATGTTATATTCTGGAAAACTTTCAGGGAAAACAAAATTATTATCGCTATATAATATATAATATATTTATATAACCAGTAACGAAATGTCCTATTTTGTGTAACGAGTAATTATTTGTGGGACACAACTAAGGTAAGCAGACCCCCAAGAGAGGCCGCTGTAGTGGCCAAGCATATATGCAGCAGAAATCGGTTAAGGTGGGCCGTAAACACTTTTAAACCGTTTAAGTCTCCAGGTGTGGATGGAATATTTCCTGCCCTGCTTCAGCAGGCACAGGAGGAATTACTACCACACATAATCCGGCTATCCCGGAGCAGTCTGGAGCTGGGATATATACCAGAAGCATGGAGAAGGGCCAGAGTCACCTTTATTCCAAAAGTAGGGAAAAAGGATACCACACATCCTAAATCTTTCCGTCCAATTAGCCTCACATCCTTTGTATTAAAAACAATGGAGAAGGCTGTTGATAACTATATCAGAACAGAAGTCCTGGAGAGGGTGCCACTCCACCACAGCCAACACGCGTACCGAGCAGGAAGATCTACAGAAACTGCCCTGGTACAGTTGACTGATGTAATCCAGGATGCACTGACAAACAAAGAAACGGTCGTGTGTGCCTTTCTAGACATAGAAGGAGCTTTTGACAACACGCCACACGAATCTATAAAAAGAGCACTTGCATACAGAGGAGTCGATAACATCACATCCAGATGGATGGCTCAGCTGTTATCTTCGAGAACTGCAGAGACACAGATAGGGCAGGACACCATCTCCATCTGCACAACCAGAGGATGTCCACAAGGAGGAGTTCTATCCCCACTAATGTGGAGCCTAATCGTAGACGAACTTCTATGCAGATTGACTGACCTCGGCATACCCTGTCAAGGTTATGCCGACGACATAGTCATATTTGCTAGTGGCAAGTTTAGTAATATCCTGTGCGATATAGTCCAAAGAGGACTAGAACATACCAAAAGATGGTGCCGTGAAGTGGTATAAACCCTACAAAAACAACACTAGTAGCCTTTTCAAGGAAAAGAAAACTTAATCTCAAAACCGTTAAATTAGACGGGATAGATATAGAATGGAAAAATGAAGTTAAATATCTAGGCCTAACCCTGGACAACAAACTTCTCTGGAACACACATGAGAAGGAAGTAGTAAATAAGGCCACAGAAGCCCTAATGGTATGCAGAAACATGGCGGGTAAACGATGGGGATGTAACCCAAACATACTGCGATGGATGTATACTGCAATAGTGAGACCAATCATCACTTACGGGGCTATAGCCTAGAGTAACAGAACTAGTTTAGTTACTACGAGAGCTAATATCTCAAAAGTACAAAGACTAGCCTGTGTTTGCATTACTGGTGCAATGAGAACCTGTCCTGCGGCCGCAATGGAGGTGATCTTAAACCTCACCCTTCTACATTTGATGATAGAGAATGTGGCAAAAAGGACACGATATAGAATGATCAGGAGCGGAGTAATCAGACGAAAGTCTACTTGCTTCAGGACTAAAGATACCTGGGACATGCCCCAGGATGAAATGCAAAAGAAGTACAGTTTTGTGAAAAACTTCAAAACCACAGAGCTGGGCTGCAAGAAAGAATGGAGCCAAGAATCCATCGCGCTTGCAACCGAAAGACGTGCTATTCAGTGGTACACGGACGGTTCCAAAACCATAGAAGGAACTGGAATAGGAGTGTATGGGCCGAGAACCAAGGACTCCGAAAGCTTGGGAAAATACCCATGCATCTTCCAGGCGGAAATTCACGCCATCGAGAAGTGTATCCAGTTTAACATCGAGAGAAACTATCATAGACAAGAGATTATCATCATGTCCAAAAGTCAAGCAGCCATCAAAGCGCTGAGTTCTTACGTAATCAGCTCAAAAATGGTATGGAGATGCCTAGAACAATTGAATGAGCTAGGCGAGAAAAATAGAGTTACTCTCACTTGGGTCCCGGGACATAACGGGGTACAGGGTAACGAGATTGCAGATAGTCTTGCAAGGAAAGGGGCTCAAACACCCTTTGTAGGACCTGAGCCGTTCTGCGGTATCAGCAGTAACATAATATTAGAAGAGATTAAAAAAGAATTGGGTAGTAGAAGAACCGATAATTGGAACAATCTCTTGGGGCTGAGACAGGCCAAGATACTTCTGGGTGAATATAACCAAAAAAGATCGGAAGCCTGCATCTGCCTGAGCAAGAACAGGCTACGTATTGTAACAGGGATCCTTACCGGGCACTGCCGACTAAAAGGACACCTAAGTAAACTGAGAGTAGTAGAGGATAGTGAGTGCAGATTCTGTGAGGAGGAGGACGAAACCTCCATTCACATCCTAACTGAATGTGTAGCACTCCAGAATCCAAGGGCACTATATCTAGGAGGATATCAAATAGAAGAGGGAGACTTACCTAACTTGAAGCCACTTCAAATCCTACACTTCCTTGAGAAAATAGGATTGGAAGGGTCGCTATAGGCATTGAGACATTTCCTTAGTGCAGTGGCGACAGAAGGGGGCACAATAGATCTTTTAGGTCGCAGTGTATTAACACCCCATTATCAACATAACATAATTATTTGCGGGACGAGCGGAGCGGACTAAATTAAATGTTTAAAATTTTGCACTTTCGAAAATTTGTATAAGTACTATGAAATATGTTTTCTGAAATATTTTATGCTTAATAGAAAAATCCCTTAGTGCGGATCTGAAGTATTCAGCCTAAAGGATCATGGCTACTTTATGTCAAAACATTAATAAATATTTACCACTGAAAACGAATAAATTTCTTATCTTTCATAACATTGGCACTTATATTTAAAGTGTATACAATTTTTCACGATACATTGTATCATCTTCAACTCAAAATTAAATAATAAAAACACTTTAAATTGCTAATAACACCAACAAATAATTCAAAAAACGGCGGCCCATGATGATTCAACTCATGCGGAGATGAGAGTAAAATAGAAATGTCGGAGCAATTCGGGTGGTGTCGTTGAAACAATGATTTTTAATTGGTGGGTTACTTAAGGTTAAAATGTTACATCTCCGGTCTCTTTAATCTAAGGTTTTTGTAAAATATATTTCATTTTATTATCTATTAAAAGGTCGAACTATTTTAGCAAAGCGACATCTGAATGCAACATCAGAATGGTATTATTTTTTATGGTTAAATGAAGAATAATCTGTATGATCGTCGTTTTATGGAAAGAATAATTTTATGATTTAATTTGAGATAAGCCCCAATATTGCTACCTTGTTAAATGAAGAAGTATTTGCTGATTTGATGAAATATTAACGTCTTGAGGATCTACGAAGTACTATCGTAGATAATACCTATTCCATCCCCTTGAAAAAGCCCTACCTCGTTGAGATAAGTCCCTACATATTTCACGCGATGTGAAATAGAAAGATGGCGTTCTGTTATTTAAAAAAATAAAATAAACTGTTTGTATTCGTCCCCATACATTTTATAAATTGACTGCACCAGAAGATGGAAAAATTGTATTTTCCGAAACATATGTAGTGCTGTGCTAAACAATAGAAAATAAAAAAACGACCGAATAAACCAAGGAAAATTTTTATTTATATATTATTTGTACCGCGTATAGTACCACGAACTGTGTAGTAAAGATAAGGCTACATAGTCTGTAATTATTTATACTTGTTTTAAATGTGTCGTTTGGATTTGTTTAGAGAAAATTTCCATATATTATTATTTATTTTTGTTTTCGTTCGATTTTCTACCCATTTATTATTACTAACTCATCCCTTTCCATACTTAGTTATGAAAATACACCAAGCATTTGCGAAACATTGGCCTTATTACCCCTAAGGACGATCATAGTCTTTAATCAGTTGTCCAAACCGCTCTACTAGCTATTAAGGGATTATTTTGTTTTTTATTTTTCTCTTATGTTCTTTTTTTTGCCACGGGCGAATGGATATTTCTTCTAGACTCTATCAGTACTCTAAGGCTGCTGACAGTACTGCCTCATCCTATAATAATACATTGGTGATAGGATTTAAATTATTTAGAGATAAGTTATAGACCTATCAGTTGTTACACTGGCGACAGAGACCTTTTCGGTTACTACAGCGGTCAAATCACTGTTTACCCCTATTTAGAACTTCTATTTATTTATAGACCTCCATCTATTACAGTTTCTTACTCATAAACTTCAGCTTTTAAGACTATCGCAAACTAAACTTCAACTTAAAAAAAATCAAAGATTAAGATAATCGAAATACTTACTTAAAATTCTTTTTGTACATTAAAAAACTAGCAGGAAGACCAATAACGTACGGTGTAGGTGCAAGTAAAAGCTGAAAAAGAAACCCTAGTTAGTTCTTTTACGATTTATTATTGACCAGTGGCTTACCTGTTCGGCGCAGTTCATGCACGTCGGCAATAAAGGAATTACGGGAAACATATATTCAAGGGGATATAACATTGTTACAAAAGCCATCACAGACATAGACAGAGCATTGTAGTCTCTGGATTGGAAAACAATTTTGTTTTCTAAGAGAATTATAGTCAGGACTTTCAAGCAGGTCTCCACTCCTGCAAATAGAATACAAATATTAAATATTATTTTTAAAATAATCTCAAATACGAGATGTGGTTATAAATAAATAGAAAAATCTTTTAATGGTATTATGATATACTGCAATGTTATACGTGGCAACCAACCTGTTTATGTTTGTTAAGGGAGTCATAACGGCCTAGCCCGGTAAACATTTTAACAACAGTTTTAACTAAACTGTCAGTTATAACTGAACTGTCATTATTTTAAGTCTTATTCGGAAATTTGTAATGATGGTGTCAAATGATAATATTTTATTTGATTTTATAGTCCGTCAGATAGTGACAGGTTTAGGTGCTCCATTTTCGCATACAAGCCTCGATGAGGGTTGAAAAGTACATCGATTTTAAGTAGAATGAAAGGAAATTTACGAGTGGCTGCTGGGAAATGGAAAATTTGATTTTCCCTAACAAAAACGAAAGGTTATTTGTTGCCCATTTTTTCACGCAAGCCTTTTTCACAATATGATTAATTAATAGAACTAGGCTTCGAAAAACCAAAGCCTTTAATGTTGCAAGTGGCTAAAGGGTTGAAATAAGGGCGTAATATTCTAAGAAAAATCGAGATTTTGTGCGATTTTTTCACACAAGCCCACCGAATATATGAAAACAAACGTCGTCACTAGTTCTAAAAACATATTTTCTTGAATGACCCGAATGTATAAATGCATTTTGGAGCCCTAAAATTTTTCTGATAATGAAAATCGAATTTTCCATTTGTTATCCCCAAGAGCCACTCATTTTCTTTTATTCTACTCAACATCGATGTACTTTCAACAATCTTCGAGACTTGTATGCGAAAATGGGGCACTATCTGACGTAGTAAATTGCAGTACATCATAAAACGTTGTACGATACACGCATTACCTGATCTCTACGTGCTCGCACGGTCATATAACGTGCTCGCTAGGGCTCGCACATTAACGACCGTGCCAGCATGTAAAGATTTAGGTAACGGGCTTATAACGTAAAATACTATTATTTCACGATTTTAAGCATTTTCCCCTTTAATACTTCATTTCCAAGCTTTTTACATGCATCGCTCCAAGCTCAATATTGATTGTTGCACGCAGTTATGTCCATTTTTAAAAGTCCATTTTCCATCGCTTTTTCCTTCACAGCTTCTACTGTCTCAAAAATGGTTCATTTCAGAGTAATTTGTTCTTGGGGAATAAAAAAGTCACATGAGGCGAGATCCGGTAAATATGGCAGATGTTTTTGTGTTAAATTGTATGACTACAAACATTCAGTTCACTCGCCTATTTTGCCGATATTACTCATTTTTTACATTTAATAATCAAAAGATATTTGTTCTAATAAAGAAATCACAATGCTTGGCCGAAAACCTCTTGGCATTACAGACCAATGTGGACTTAATGTCTTGATAAAGAAACCATGACTTTGTTTTGCTAAAAATCTATTTCAATTAAGTATAAGTTTCTGTTGCGGATTTTCTAATGTTACGAGGAATTTCTCATTAACGCGTTGCTTTTCTTGAACACGAACTGACCATTTTTCCAACGGGGCACATATGCATGATCCATTTCAAACGAAGTCCACGACTCAGTTAACAATTAGGCATTCCAACGTTTCGTCAACAAAAATCCAACACGGCCGTCGATAGGCACCAATATTTATTTACATTATTATCAAAATATTTTTTTTATGTTAGCAACTTAAAAATGGCGAATTTGTGATTTTGAAAGTGTATTTAATACAAAAAATACACTATTGTGTGTGATCAGTTTTATCATTAATATTACCTGTTAACTATAATTACTTGTTTTATTTGAAAACATTAAATATACAGTGTGACTACTTAAGTTGGAACCATATCGAAAACTTTTTTTATTATTGGTTTTGGGATAAAAAGTGCTGCATGGTCCAAAACCTAAAATACAACCATCAGATATCAATTTTTTTAAGCCGATACGAGGTTTGTCAAAAAATATTAATTTTTGCTAAAGAGTAAAGTACCTTCATTTTTGACAAACATCGTATATGAATATTAAAATTTAATATCTGATGGCTGTATGCTTGACTTTTTATGAAGAATAACTTTTTTCCTAATAATAATAATAAAAAAAATTTTCATGTGCCACCAACTGTCCACGTAAGTTTAGTGAAGTATTTGACAGATTAAGAAATGCCAATCGAAAGTCTATTATTTGGAAAATATCGTTTTTGTGGAAGAAATCAAAACCAACCCGGAGAAAATAGCAGCTATCAGAGATTGGCCGAAACCAAGAAATAAAAGAGGAATTAGGAGTTTTCTTGGACTGTGCTTATATCATCGGAAATTCGTCAAAGACTTTCGCCTAATTACTAAATAACTGAAAACAGTATTGACCACGGCACCCATCCTAGCCTACCCTCGGAAAAAAAAGACAATTCATGGGGGAAGGGAAAGTATTTGAGTATTTTAATAAGACCTTGGGAAAAGCTGAGAAGAATTATTGCATAACTAGGAAAAAACTTTTAGCTATCTATTGTCAAAACCCTTAAACACTTCCATACTTACCTTTTTAACAGAAGTTTTATCATTAGAAGTGACCATAGCGCCTTGCAGTGGCTGATGAATTTTAAAAAACCTAAAGGACAAATTGCTAGATGGATAGAAAGACTACAACAATATAACTTCGAGATAGTGCATAGAAGAGGCCGGCTTCATAGCAACGCAGACATTTTTTCCAGCCAAACCTATTTACAACGACAATGCCGGTACTGTAATAGGATCGAAGAGCGAGAGAAGCCGATTAAAGAAGTTATTCATCAGACGACCATTATCAAGCCAGAGGATGACAAAGACGAAATCACCCTTGAAAGCCTAAGAAAGACTCGAAAGAAAGACAATGACTTGAACGTTGTTCGAGAATGGCCAAAAAATGGAGTAAGACCTACTTGGCAAGAGATAGCTAGATATAGTAGAACTATTAAAGGATACTGGACTCAGTGGTATTCCCTGTATCTTCATTATGGTCTGCTGCATCGGAAATGGGATAGCCCAATGGAGTACATGTAGACCGTCAAGTGGTACTGCCCAAATCACATGTCAAAAGTGTGTTGGAGGAGCTTCATAGCAGCCGTTCAGGAGGACATTTTGGTATTAAAAGGATACTTGCACGAGTTCGGAAAAGATTTTATTGGGTCATTTGCCGACGAGAAGTTGAAGATTGGTGTGAAAAATGTGATCTATGCAATGACAGGAAAGGACCCAAAACAAGAAACCGGGGTAAAATGGTACAGTACCTTCCCATAGAGCCTTTCGAATGAATCGCTATAGATATCCTCGAACTATTTTCCTTAACAGGAAGAGGAAACAAATACTTAATGATTTTTATGGACTATTTTTCAAAGTGGCTCAAAATAGCGCCTATTCCTAATTGGGAAGTGACGACAGTAGCAAAAGCATTTATGACAAACGACATAGCTTTACATGGAGTCCCTCTGGAATTGCATTTTGACCAAGGACGAAATTTTGAATCCGAACGGTGGCAATAATTGATGAAATTATTAGGCATCAAGAAAACATGCACTACGCCTCTGCACCCACAGTCCGACGGAATGGTAGAAAGACACCATATACCCATATGCCAGTATCATTCAATGTTTGTCTCTGAGAACCAAAAGGACTGAGGCACTTTAATTCGTCTATTACTGCTAGCCTACTGCAGTGCTGATCATGAATCGACCAGTTATACTCCTTCTATGATGATTACTGGAAGAAAGATCCCCATGATCTTATTTTTGAAAGGCAGCCTCCTGGTGAAGAAGAGGACCGTACTCCTCCCACGTACATGCATAACTTAAGAAATAGATTATAAAAGATATACGAATTTGCTCGGCAAGGTTTGAAAATCAATAGCGATAAGCAAGAGCTAGAATCTGCATGCATGCCACAGGGACACATTTTGAGGAAGGCGACCCAGTGTGATTGTACAATCCCTAGCGCCGAAAAGGACTCTGTCAAAAACTAAAACGGAACTGAGAAGGCCCCTACACCGTTCTCAAGAAAATCAACGACCTGATCTTCCGCATTCATTTGTCACCGGGAAGTAAACTCAAGGTAGTTCACATTGAAAAGTTAGCGCCATACCGTGGTCCAGAACCGTTGGCTTCAACCAGGTTCCAATAATAAAGTTATTCGGGAAGAGTAATTAGAGAAGAGAAAGCAATGTTACCCTGCAGTAGTCTGCGGCTGTTATAGGAATAGTACGATTAAAAAAAAGAAGTGTAATGTCACTCGTCATCCTACAGTGAGATGCGGTGGTCATAAGTAAAAGTACATGTAAAAAAAGAAGAGAGAATACTCTAGAAATGTCAAGATATATCTGATCGAGAAGGTTCTAAAAAGTTCAAGCGAGCTATATAAGTCGATGATCCTTGCTTTTATTCTAAACGTTGAACGTTCGTCCATGTTATCAGTAGTTATAGTTGAATTGTATAATAAATTGAGTTACCAAAAACCAGCGTAACAATATATTAAACAATTTCGTTTGATGAAAGAAACATTCTTGTTTTGAACTAATATCAGCTGATTTGGACTTTTCTTATGACTTTTTTTATGTTCATAAGTCTTTTAAAACAATTTTTACTTCTGCAATTATTTTCTAATTAAGTTGCATTAAATTCTGTAATTAATGTGTAATTTATTAACATCGATTTCTCGTTTACAGAAAAATTTGTTCTGTTGGTTAAAAAAGTAGTCTTTGAAAGATTCTTGAGCTTCTATTCGTTTTTACTTAAAATATATTAAACTACAATTTGATACATTGTAATGTTTCAATTTTTACAATTTTTATATACAGAGGTAATGGAAAATTAAAGAAATTAAGTTATATTTAAATGGTGTTGATCAGAAAATTAATGTTTTAAATGTAGGACTACTAAATGAAATATCGTTAGCCTCTTTATTTCAACTTATTTGTTACTTTAAATTGAAGAATACTGGATGTTCTATCATGGCACATTTATTTTAATTTTATTATCTCTTTCTTTTAATATTTTTCTGTCTTTTCAGGCATTGGATTGGAATCCATTCTCTTCCTATACCCATTTCTTTCGTTCTTTTTATATTCCTACCTACTGTTTACATCTTTATCAAATTTTCCTCACATCAATTACAATGATTATAATGTGATTGATCCATTTTCTCCTGGGCCTTTCTCGTTCTATTTTTCTTGCTTTTACTATTTCCATTACTTTTCTCGCTATTCCACATTGGTTTCATTTTTACTAGGTGGCCATACCAGTTTAATTGTTTCTTTTTAATCTTTATCTTTATTGGATCCTGTTAGTTTGCTTATACCTTACTCTATTTCATTTAGTTTTCCCTGTTACTTTTCTCAAAAGATTTGTTTCTTTTTGTTAAAAAAAATGTTTTCTTTAATTTCGTACTTATGTAATATGTCTGATAGATAATAGTCAACATAAATCGAAACTGGTCACTATTTTTTAATGAATTTACATCGATAAAATTGGTAGAACTTTTAACCTCAAAGAATACTTACCTAATAATTCTAAAGGCAGATGCAATGGAAAATCGACTAAACTAAATCGAGTATGACTTGGTAAGGCAAAAACAAGGGGATCGTATACACTTGGTGATAATACTTCAATTTCGACTCTGAAACAATTAATTACATAATTCTACAACAATTTAAAATTATATATATTTTAAATTCATAATTAAACTAACAACCAATTATTTTATTCAAAAATGAGGTTCGGTGAAGAATCCAAATGCACAAATTATTTCGCAAAAAAAAATTAAACATTAAAAAGTAACTAGTTATAGTAATTTAAAAAAGGAGAAAATTGTAATTGAAAATCTCTATTTTGTAGGTTATAAAGACAAATTCTATCTTGGTGCAACAACGTTGCCAAATTGCAAATTAAATTACAAGTACCTACCTAAGAAATCTGAAACTAATTTACCAAAGCTAAATATAACAAAGGGACAGCTACCCGACTTAGCAGGTTCACTTATTGTGTATCGATATCTGTAGTCATGCCAGGCTTTACGCATTTAGTAGTGGATGGGTGACTATCGCAGTGAAAGTCGGCGATCGTCCGAATAAACTGCTCGCTTAGTTGTATACCACAACGGATAGGCGATATATCAATGAGTACGAGGTATAGCGTGGGGTTATGCCGTCTTTTCGGAGGAGATGTTACGCCGTTGCTACCAAGTCGATAGATGTTGGGATCCTTTAAGATTCTTGACGGTGATAGAATAGAACAACCGAGAGAAAGTGGGAGTGGTTCTACTGAAATTTCTAAAACCGTATTCTTGACGACGTTTCTATTGAAAAAGCAATAGAAAATCCGTTCCCAGAAGAACAAAATACTTCTCTTACTATTTTTTAAGAGAACAATTGGTAAGTGCGATGATTCTACACATAAATCAACAAGACATGAGTTTTTGACATAAAAAATGAGGGACAGTGTCAGTGAGACAATGTAATTCATGTGTAATTATTGTTAATTTTAATTATACGAATTGTGTATAAAGAAATGAGTTTTAATAAAATATTATTATGGGGGCTAACTATTGAGGATGAGGCCAAGGAAAATATAAATAAGTTCAGAGAAGTCTTGCCTAAAATAAGTCCTTTCGATACGTTGTCAAACAATAATGTTATTCAATGTTTCTGTATAAAATGTGTCGATAGCTATTATAAATATGTTAGTTTTTACCATTGTGATAATAAAAATATGTATTATTTGACACTAGTTTTATTTATTACAAAAAAAACAGCGACAACATAGTATAATATTGTGATGTTTATCTTAAACAACAGTTTATTTAAACACTTATTTATTTTATAACACTACTAGTATAATTTATATATATTTCGAATGTCTTTAAACTGTTCACTATTTATCTTCACTGTCCATATATCTAATGACTTTTTGTTGATCCTCCACCAATATTTATATACAAATTGGTGATTCCAGAATGCTCCTCCACCAAAACATCTCATATCCGGAATATACCAGAAACATTAACACGTTGACTCAGGAATGTTCGCGAAAGTGCCTCCGCCATAGTCGTCACATATGTTTGGTCTTAAGGGGTTTAATTATGTATGATAATCGGACAAGTTGGGCCTCAAAGGCCAAATAAGACAGAGAGGAACTTGAAGAATTAGAGCATGACTGAATAATGAAATGGCTCACATAACAATATCAATAAAATAAAGTTTGCAAGATAGCAGTAAAACTGTATGCCCTTATACATGTTGCTAAAAATGTATAAAATCCACCAACATTTCTTTTTGTTGGGACTTTATTGGGTTACCTACCTCCTTTTGGGTTTCTTTGCGTTATCCATTATTTCTTTTTATTGACAAAAAAAATCAAAGTTTTAAAAGACAAAGGCCCATTTGTACCGCTAGTCGTTTAAGAAATAAGCGAATCTCAAAAGGACGAAATTTTACTTTAAGCTTCATTTACAATTTGGATCTTTGAAGTCTGTCACAATATTCTTTGTTTTGATTGGTTAAGAAGTTTGGCAACAAAGCAAATGATTTCTATGATTCTATTCTATGGCCGTCAAGAATAAGGCCCCTCAGGGGATTGAGCAAAATTTCTGGGTAACGTTCTTACGGGGGGGTAAGGTGATTACCAGTCTAAACCTCGCGTTGTTAGAACTAGGTCGACGTTAAATTAATTAATAAAAAAATATGTATAAAATATATTAAAGATATTTTTCTAGTATTTTAATTAAAATTTAAAAAAAATAACTAATTTACCTAACCTAAGCGGCCAAGGGCCATTTAAATTTTTCTAAACCCAACATATAGAGCAATAGATAAAAACAATATTATACAATTTTATACCAATGAAGATATGTTCGCTACCTCTATCTATACAGGGTCTCATTAAGAATGGGACACAGAACTGAAGATTATCTGATTAAAAATAAGACGGTTCAACGAAACATTCTGCTCAGATAAAATATTACTGGTTTCCGAAATGCAGGGTGTTAGAGTTGAAAATTCAAACATTAATAATGGCTATAATTTTTTTATTTCTCAGTATAATTTTACTAAATTCGGTAAAAATTGTTGGTGTCGTAAGATACACGTATTATCATAACAATGAGTTAAATAAACTTACCAGTTACGTACAACACGGATAAGTAACACTTTCATTACCTCTAAATTTTACGCCACTGTTCAAATTTTAATTTTTTTATGTTTCTTAAATAAATCATGTACTCTGGTTGTAAATTTATAAAAAAATCCATAATCACAAAATAAAATAAATTAATATGATGAATATCCACCGTTGAGTGTGAATATCTCGAAAACCAATCACTTTATGAGATCCCAAGAAAAGTATGTGATTTATTTATAAAGCACCGGAAAATGTAAAAATACTGTTACGCTGGTTTTTGGTATCCCAATTTATTTCAACTCAACTTTAACAACAATTATACAACTGATAACATTAACATGTAACGTCTGTCATAAAACTGAAAACTGACGTCAGGATCATCCTTATATAGCTTGCTTGACCCTTCTCGAACCTTCTCGAACTGTCATCTAGAATATTCTTGACGGGTAATGACATTTCCATACAATTCTGGAATATTCTGTCTTCTTTTACATGTACTTTTACTTATGACGACCGCAGCACACTGTAGGGCGATGACTAACATTCCACTTCTTTTCTATTTGTACGTTTCCTATAATAGCCGCAGGCTACTGCAGGGTGCTGCGTAACATTGCTCCCTCCTCTCTAGATATTCGCCCCGAATAACTTGATTACTGGGACCTAGTTGGAACTAACAGCGAGGATCTGGACCATGGTATGGAGCTATCTTCCCAATCTGAACTACGTTGAATTTACTTCCCGCTGTCAGTTGAATGCAGCAGATTAGGTCGTTGATTTTCTTTAAGGACGGAGTAGGGGCCTTCCCATTTCCGTTGCGATTTTTGACGAAGTCCTCCTCGCTGCTTGGGATTGCACAGCCATATCATAGGCCATACCTTGTCGCCCCTCCCAAAATGTGTATCTGTGGCACGCCTGTCGATTCTAGCTTCTGCTTTATCGGTGTGGGCTTTCAGTCGTTCCCAAGCGAATTCATAGATCTTTGTCCTGCCATTGCATACATTACATTTTTTAGACCAATCTGCTACGTCCCGTCGGCATTGACCCAATAAAATCTTTCCCGAACTCGTGCCAGTGTCCTCTTAGAATCAATGTGTCCTCCTGAACGGCTGCTATGAAGCTCCTCCAATACTTTTCTCACCTGTGACCTCGACAGTATCACTTGGTGGACTACATGTACTCCATCGGGGCTGTCCCACTTCCGGTGCAATCGACCATCGTGAAGATACAGGGACACTGGGTCCAGTAGCATTTTATAATTCTACTGTATTTGATTATCTCTTGCCAAGTAGGTGTGACTTTATTTTTGAGCCATTATCGGACAACCTTTAAGTCATTGTCTTTCGTCTGTCCCTGTCTTAGACTTTCAAGGGTGATTTCTTCTTCGTCGCCCTCTGGCTTGATAGTGGTGGCCCGAAAAGTACCTTTATCAACCGGTTCTACTCGTTCTTCGAACCTTTTACAATACCATTGTTCCTCTAAACGGGGTTGCACGAAGAGAATGTCTGCGTTGCTATGGAGACCTCCTCGATGCTCTACTGTGTGGTTTATTTGCTTCTTCAGGACGTATAGCTGCTGTAATTAATTCTTGTTGGTCTTAGTGATGGGCTTGGAAAGATTGATCTATATGATTTTCCGGTCTCATTCGCTGATTCTCGATTTATAGAATAAGCCATGCTTCTACAGGTTCTTTGAAGGTGTCCGATTCGTCCTTAATTGAAGCATCTCCTGCTTCCATTTTGGCTATTTTATTGCATATTTCGTAGGATATTTAAGATTTGGGGAATAGCATTAGTATTGGCCTCCTCACTTTCCTGGGATTTAATTGTCCTCACTTTTGCGCGAGAAGATCTGGATAGAAGTTTTACCGCTTCATATTCCTGAGCTGCAATCAATTTCTCCCTCAGCGTCTTGTGATGTTGTAGACGAAGGACTTGCTGCATTTCCACATCTTGTAGTCCATCAATGAATGCTTTTATTCCGAGTTGTTCTTGGAAATCTTTGGGCACCTGTGGATAGGCCAGATGAATCAACCTTCTTATATCAGCCTCGAATTCCTGTAGACTCTCATTATGTTTCTGACTACGAACCTTTAGCTGGCTGTTGCAAATTCTGCTGGCCATATCTTGTCTCCAAAGCTTAACCGAGAGATGAATAACTGGGTTCCTCTTGAGGAAGTAACTGTAAAACGGTTGCTGCCTGACCTCGCAGTGACACTATCAATGAAGCCGACATCTCTTTCTCGGTCCAGCTATTGGCTCTAGCTGCAGCTTCAAATTGAAATCGATATGATTCCCATGTTGTCTGACCGTCAAACGTGGATGGCTTAATGGTCCTGCTAATATGGCTTTGCGAAACTGGGTTTTAAATATGGCTTGGTTGGGTTATAGATGAGGACGAGGTAGTGTTTTCAGTTTCAATGTTGCTTACAGAAGCTTGGCCACGAATTCTTTTCTCCAACTCTGCCATTTCAGCTCTAATTTGCCTTTCCAATTCCACTCTAGTCCGTTCTTGTTGATGTTCTAAATTCGTTTTTAAGTTCTGTAAATTACTTTTTAGATTCTCTTGCTGCTGTTCTAACAGATCTATTCTAATTTTAAGCTGACCAACCTCTTGTTTGAAGGTTTCCTGGATTTGTAGCAAAGCATTTATAATCTCTACCTCCGCTTTTCTATGCCTCTCCTCCTTCTCTTCTCGTTTTTCCCTCTAATCCTCTTCTTCCTTCCTACGCCTTTCTTTTTCCTCGACTTCTTCCTTCCTACGCCTTTCCTATTCTTCCTCTTCTTCTTCCTACGCCTTTTCTTTTCCTCTTCCATTTTCAAAAACCATGCTGGTGGGCCTGAACTATCCATATCTTTTTCGTACTCAGTGGATCTAGTATTTATTATGAACTTTTATCTTAAATCCCACCGCTGTCACCAATATTACGCTGTTTTTTGGTATCCCAATTTATTTCAACTCAACTTTAACAACAATTATACAACTGATAACATTAGCATGTAACGTCTGTCATAAAACTGAAAACTGAAAACTGACGTCAGGATCATCCTTATATAGCTTGTTTGACCCTTCTCGAACCTTCTCGCACTGTCATCTAGAATATTCTTGACGGGTAATTACATTTCTGTACAATTCTGGACTATTCAATCTTCTTTTACTTGTACTTTTACTTATGATGACCGCAGCACACTGCAGGGCGATGAGTAACATTCCACTTCTTTTTCTATTTGTACGTTTCCTATAATAGCCGCAGGCTACTGCAGGGTGCTGCGTAACAATACAGTCCAAATATGTTTTTGGAGTGACGTAAAATTTAGAGAGGAGGAAAGTGATACTTATTCGTGTTGTACACCACTGGTGAAGTTTATTTAGCTGATTTTAAGACACCAAAAATGTTTATCAAATTTAGCAAAATTATACTGAGAAGTAAATAAATTATAGCCATTCATAATTTTTGAATTTTCAACTTTAACACCCTGTATTTCGGAAACCAGTAATATTTTATCTGAGAATGTTAAGTTTAATCGTCTTAGTTTTAATCAGATAATCTTCAGTTGTTCTGTGTCCCATTCTTAATAAACTCTGTGATGTAGACTTTTCGGTCAATCGCTCATTCGTGCAAATATATTTTGGATTAAATGATATTTAGTGCAAATGTTCTTTATTGCTAATGTATTTTCGAGTAAACAATTTTCCGTGCAAATATATTTTCAAACAAATTTCAAGCACTATTCCGTAATTAATTTTCTTTGTCTTCTACTTCTTCTCTTCAAAGCACAATTTTTAAATACAAAATTGAATATGATTCAATATGGCAACGTTGCAAACTAATAGATCGTTTATAAAGAGAATTATCTTAGTTTACGTTTTATTGCAGAAAATGATGCCAAAAAAAATTAAAGAGTGAAAAAAATGCCATTTAAATATTATAATTTAAAATTGCAAATTAAACATACTTTCCTTATCTAATTTTTGTTAAAATATAAAAAGTAAATTAGTTTAATAATCCAGTGATAAAACTTCAAGATTCGAACATTTGGATTCTTTACCTGAACTGAAAAGATTTTTAAATGGGACTAACATTAGGTAATATGATTTTTGACTGAAATCATGCGTGATCGAACATTTTACTTTTTAATTAATTTTTCATAATTATACGATTTGTAAGTTTCAGATTGACATATTCAATTAGACACCTAAAATTAGATACTCTTGGTAAATTTCGATCAATTAATACAAATAATAACACTATTAATTTCTAAATTTTTAAAGTTGATGAAAACTGTTCGCAAAATAGACTTTTAATAAAAATGAATTGTTCTTTAACCCAAAAAATTATTTGACGGTAGAAAAAATATTTTATAACACAATGGTATGAATGAAGTGATTTATACTCATTAGTGTCATAAATAACTATTAATGATGTCTGAAGGAAAGCAATTAAATTTTACAATGGAAAGACATTTACTTTGTTTTTCCGGGTATTGGCACAGGAGAAGAAAGTAACTTGAGTATCCACGTTTCAATTTCTTTAACATCATGAATGACTATGGATGAAGTCGTGTCTGTAGCGTGACCTGTTAGCACACTCCAAACGTTATCTCTGAAAAATAAAACAGATTCCAAAATTCTTTAATGTAATTTAAGACATTCCGATTACAATAAGAAAAACACCCTATAACTATTATTTCACGGTGCCTATCATCTTATAAGGATGTACAATGGGGCTAGTGATGCCTAAGTGCAGTGGGGTAAACCACCCTCAACACGTTATAGATACAGAACTATTATTTCGAATTTCCAATATACATCATCTATAACTATCAATAAATAAAGAATATGTGAGTTGTTTGATTTAAAAATAATATTCCTACATTTTTATAATATTAACACGCCACTAAATCCCCAGTATACGGCGATTGCCAACGAATTACTTCGCCAATTGATGACAAGGCTGGGTTCATCTTATTGTAATCGGATCCAAAATAAATAAAATCAAAAGAATCAAAACCGCAACCTTAAGCTTTAAGCCTTGTTCAGAGTAGAAGCGGCGAGCGTGGCGATGCAATAGCATTACGTCGTGCGACGCATCGTCGGTAAAACAACCTATATATGATGCGTTTGAATATTCACATCGGATACATCTGAGATGTAAATCTTTGATCACGTGATTCGATATACGTAAATGTAGTAGGACAGATGTATCTGATGTGGATAAACAAATGCTCGAGATGTAAAAAAATCATCGAATGTTGATATTAAACGCAGCAGTAGTGTAACCAAACGCAAACGTTCAAAGTGAGAGCTAGCGATGCGATATCTGAAATATAAATCGCGTCGCTCGGCGCAACGCTATCGCATCGCCTACTTTGACCAAGGTTTACACTTGATAACAATGATTTACTAGATTCTATGTCCATTCGCCATTTATACATTTTTGAATATACAGGGTAGGCAATAAGGTATTTTCTTGCTTTATAACATGGTGGTGATACCGATAATAACATACGCAGCTTTGGTGTGGTGGCCAAAGACACAGCAAAGGAAAGCAATAACGAGGCTAAGCAAGGTACAAAGACTTAGCTGCCTCGGAATAACGAGGGCAATGAAAACAACCCCCACTGCTGCAATGGAAGCACTAATAGGACTCCCACCTCTTCACTATATGATACAAGGGGAGGCAAGATTAGGTGCTTACAGATTAGGGAATACACTGGGAAATCTTGACATTAGGACAGGTCACATGCGTATCTCAAGGTTAGTGACAGGAGACGTGCTAGACATGAGATCAGACCACATAACCAAGAGGTACTCTTTTAATACTCCATTTGAGGTTTTAATACAGGAAAGAGCGGAGATCACCATAAGGGAGCCCAATGCCCAACGACAGGAACAAACCTGGTATACAGACGGGTCTAAGACTGCGGAAGGCACTGGGGCAGGAGTAATCTCCAAAAACCCTGATACTAACCATAGCTATGCTATAGGAATACATTCCTCGGTATTTCAGGCCGAGGTATACGCAATTTTGCAATGTGCAAAAACGAACAATGAAAGAGCTATCGAAAATCAGCATATTTAAATAATGTCAGACAGCCAAGCGGCACTTAAGGCCATATCGAGTCAGAAAGTTAGGTCGAGGCTGGTATGGGAACGCATCGAAGAACTAAGAACACTGACAGACCGAAATAGAGTAAAACTATTTTGGGTGCCAGGTCACCAAGGGATCGAAGGCAACGAAAAGGCTGACGGACTTGCAAAAAGAGGGTCAGAAGAAACACCGGAACCAGACACAAACCCAGGAGTACCAAAAAGTACAGTCCGGGGTTTCATAAACGACTGGATTCGGGAACAACATATTAACTATTGGGGAAACGCCTCAAAACAGGCACATGGAAAAGCTTTCATAGGCAGACCATGTCCCAAAAGAACTGGAGAACTACATGTACAATGGGGAACTCATGTGCCGACTATGTCACAAGAAACCAGAAATGGCCAAACACATACTGTGCGAATGCGAAGCTCTAGATCGCAAAAGACAGGCTATTTTTGGACAACCCCAGGTTGATCCAACAACGTATAGAACCCGCTCATCCAAGGATCTGTACAAACTTGTACAAGGTACAAAGGTGACAGAGTGGGTGCTATGAACTAACATGGGGTAAAACACAATAAGCCAATAGGCTTCAGTGTTATTGGGAGACACATAGTCAGACGAGCCCAGGAGAAAAAAAGGTATTTTCTTTGAAACGAATGAATATATATGTATAAAATTGTAAAAGGATGAAGGGGATTGTATTCTGCATTTTTTAAAGGACATGTAAAAGTTATGAGCCGTCTGCGTTGAGCGTACTACCGCCATCTTGATTTTTTTAAATGGCAACGTAGGTCGAGTGATAATCAGGGAAAAGCATATTTTCTCCTCTTCTTAAGATTATTGTATTTTTAAAGATTACCCAACAATTGTGCCCCGGTCAAATGCGTCCCAACAAAAGCACCCCGATAAATACACCCCGACAAATGTGCTTCCCGACGTATGCGTCCCAGTTTCTGTTGGATGATAGATGTTGTACGTTAATATTTATAGTTGTAAAGTTTGAGTTGTAAGTAAACTGAGTTAACAAAAACCAGCGCAACATTTAGTGACAGCCGTGGGATCCAAAATGAAAGGTACTCTGTTCTTGGTAAATACTAGATCCCCTGTGTACAAAACAAAGGTGGATAGTTCAGGTCCCCTAGAATGGTTTTTGAAGATGGAAGAGGAAAAAGAAAGGCGAGAAGAGAAGAAGGAATTGCGCAGGAAGAAGGAAGAAAGGGAAAGGGAAAAGTGAGAGAAGCTAAGGAATTATAAAGGAAGAAGATGAAAGTGAAGGCGAGGAGAGGAGAAAAGTACAGAAAGGAGACAGAAAATAAATGAGCAGAGGCGTAAAAATCAGAGGTGAAAATTATGAATGGCTTGCTACAAATTCAAGAAAACTTCAGGCAAGAAGTACCTAGGTCAATTGAACAGTCGAGTATATATCTTGGTACAATAACAAGAGCAGCAACAAGATAATCTAAAAGCTAATTTAGATACTTTAAAAACTTAATTTAGAACAGCAACCAGAGAATCTAAAAGCTAATTTAGAACAACAAAATGAAAAGGTTAGAGTAGAGTTGTAAAGGTAAATTAGAACTGAAATAGTGAAGTTAGAAAGAAGAATTCGTAGCCAAGCTTCGGTAAGCTGAAAACACTACCTCGTCTTCATCTATAACCGAACCAAGCCACATTCAAACCCCACTTTCTCCAAACCATATCAGCAACACCTTTAAATCACCCACGTTTGACGGTCAAACAACATGGAAATCGTACCGACTCCAATTTGAAGCTACAGCTAGAGCCATTGGCTGGACCGAGCAAGAGGTGGCGGCTTCATTAATAGTGTCGCTGCGAGGACAGACAGCAACCGTTTCACAGTTACTTTCCAAGTTTTTGAGACAAGATATAGCCAGCAGCATTTGGAACAGGTATTCCAAAGTCAACTAAAGGTTTGTAGTCAAAAACACCGAAAGTCTACAGGATTTCGAGACCGATATAAAAATATTGCTGCATCTGCCCTATCCACAGTTGCCCAAAGATTTTCTAGAATAAATCGGCATACAGATTCATTGATGGACTACAAGATGTGGGAAGGCAGCAAGCTATTCGAATACAACACCACAAGACGCTGAGGGAAACACTGCTGCAGCCCAGGAATACGAAGCAGCAAAAATTATATCTAGACCCTCTAATGCTAAATTGAGAGAAATTAGATTCCAGGAAAGTGAAGAAGCAACTACTAATAATATCCCCCAACCTACTCTCTCACAAATCTGAAATATCCTGCAAAATATGTTTCGAAATAGACAAAATGAGAACAGACGATGCTTCAATTGCAGAAGAACAGAACACCTTCAAAGAACCTGTAGCAGCAAGGCTCGTTCTATAAATCGAGTATCTAGGAATGAGGTTATAAATTCGCCTATATCAACCTCTTGAAGCCCTTCACGAAGTCCAACAAGAAATATTTGCAATAGTTATGCTTCCCGGAGAATCCGGTCATCCACACCATAAAGCCTCAAAATTCACACTTACACCTTAAATAAAAACGAACGAAATCTATTGATCAAGGGGTATGTCGATAACTAAGAAGGCATCTTCGTCCTTGATACTGGTGCAAAGCAAGTCTCTCATTCGAACAGGAATCCTGTATCAAAAACCATGACCAACTCGAAGAAGCTTAGTTCTGGAAACAGCTACAGGGCACACTACTCCTGTTCTAGACAAAATATTAGCAATCATAGAGATTGGTAATACCCTGATAGATTACTTATTTCTGGTAGCCGATATTAAGGATCAGTGTGTCCTTGGTATCGATATTATGAAAAATAACTTTATCATCAACCTTCAAAATAAGATTTCGGTAATTGGGAACGGGAAATTGTCCTAAGAAGATATAGAAGTATCCCAAAATATAATATAATTGGTCTAAATTTAAAATTAATTTTTTGGTCGAAAGTTCAAATGGTCGAAAAATCAATTATTTGAACGTAAAAAGATCGAAAAGTACGAAAAAAAGAACAATCATTCAAACGCATAAAAATGTACACATAAAACGAGAAAAGTAAAATAAAACTCATTTTTTTACCTAACCTGTGCGGTCTGGAGCCTTCGCGAGTTGTTTTACAAAAAAAAATATACATGAAATGAGAAATATAAAACCTAACTAATTTACTCAACCTGTGCGGCTTGGAACTATTTAACTTTTACTTGTTGGGTAATTTAGTTAAGTTTTTTAACCATTTTATGTAAACATTTTTTGCGAAATAAAATAAATAAATAAAATAAAAATCAATGACCAAAAATACCTAGTTAATGTGAAAAATTATATATATTTTTTTTTCTAAAGTTACTCTGTAATACATATGTATATTTTAAGAGCCAATCTTTTCACCTCTAAGTAAAGTTGAAAGTAACTACTTGCTGATTGAACTATAGGACTATTGTATGTTAATCTGTCAAGTAAACCTACATGTAACTTACCTAATTTTTATAGGTACTAAAATGTATTACTATCAAAAAGTAAAGTCTTAAATATTACCACTGTCCCCTACAGGCTTAAACTTTATTACCACTACCGCCCGCCCCAGACTTAAACGCTAGGATTCGCCACTGTTGCCAGTGTTAAGTTGTTGTGAACGTGCCACGTGTCGCCGTAAACGTGAATTGACGAAGAAAGGTTAAAAAATCGGTTTATATTCGAAAACTGTAAAATGCAAATTTTGAAAATGTAAAAATATACTTTGTAATTACCTGAACAATTGTTTCGAACCACCAACTCTTCTTGGATTTGATGACTCGTTGCAAGCATCGATCAACTTTTTGAGAATAAACAAACATTCTCTAAACATCGAGAAAAACGGATGATGCGAAAGAATGCAAAGTGAAGTGAGTGAAAGGTTTCTTAATCTCTGAAAAAGAACAGAAGCATGTGACTTAATCATTCAAACAGGTTTTATCATTTAGTTTTTACCTGGCGGCGGCGACTTGCTCTCGGAGATGGTGAATGACTGCCCCCGCTTTCCGAGTCGTTAGCTGGGATCACACCTAGACGAGGTAGATTTGCTGTAGTCGACTCAGAATCTCTCCTGCTCGGACAATCTTTCTCTGAGTCGCTGGGACCGATATTACTGCTTCTGTAGTCACTGAAACAAACGTTAGAATAAAGAATACAGGAAGTAAAATCTGCTAATATTTCCTTGTGTATACGTATAATTTACGAAGGTATGATACAATACTGTATTGTATTTTAGAGCGATGTGTTTTACGTAAGAGGTAAGGAAGTAGAAGTGATATGTTTAATAAATAATTGTCGCTAGTTCTAAATTTTACCAATAATTTAATTCCAACAGCTAATATCGCAAGCAGTTTTACTAATACTAATATTGAATTCGACAATATCTGTGACAATCGTCAGGATTTTACTTTTCCAAATGCTTTAAATTATTACTATGTAAAGAGTATTGAACAAATATCTGAGCAGTTACCTACTATTAATAATAATCATATTATACCTCATCTAAGTGAAATTGAAACTCTTGTAAATTTTAAACTAATTAATTATAAGGAATTAAAAGAAATATTATTTTCAATGTCAAATAAAAATAGTCCAGACGAAATATCTACAATTTTATTAAAAGAATGTTTTGAGAGTTTATCCCAATCTCTATTACATATTATAAATGTTTCTATTGAAACAAGCTTAGTTCCGGACGATATTAAGATTGCTACAATAATTCCGATACCAAAAATTTCGAATCCAAGTAAGGCTACCCATTTAAGACCGATAAATTTGATCAGTGCTGTTGGAAAACTAATAGAAAAAGTAATATATCTTCAAATTATTGATTATTTAGAGGGGAACAGTTTGATAAGTCATGTGCAATCAGGATTCCGTAGTAGACACAACTGTGAAACTGCTTTACAGTTGGTTTTGCATGACTGGAAGTTATCAATTGAAAATAATTTGGTTACACTGGCGGTATTTTTAGATATACCCTATGCATTTGAGACTATTAATAGGGGTAAATTATTAATTAAATTAAGAGCTATAGGATTGGGGGGTTGTGCACTGGACTGGTTGGGTCATTATATAGAAAATAGGAAACAGAAGGTTAAGGTAAATAATTGTGTTTTAGATACTATAGAGAATAATATGGGGGTGCCACAGGATAGTGTTCTAGGTCCACTACTGTTTTTAATTTATATTAACCCGTTGACGGACAACGACGTTTATAGACGTTATTGACAATGTGCGCTCCGTGACACCTTAATTTAAGGACGTCTGTGGACGTATTTTATAATACCTCCATAGCTCGGCAATAACTTCTGCAGACGTCGGATTTGAATCGTAAATCGGTAAAGTGTCATATCAAGCACACGAATTTGACTCTGTGCATTTGACGTGAGAGGTGGGGATAGTTAAAACATTGCGCCATAACCGTTTATGCAGGGCGCCTCTGCGGGCCTCTGGCATTTAGTATTTCAGTCAGAAATCAGAATGCAGCACGTGGTATGGCGTTAGCTGTTATTCGATAGTTTCTTCAAATTGAAGATATCCAATATGGCAGGAAATGTATCAAACAAAGTCCAATAAAAAGAAGAATAACTGCTCCTAGCCCAAATCAGCATTTTTTGGAAAATATTTCAGTTCCTCAGGATTATAAAAACCACCCAATTTATTTCTGAAATGTAGGAAATGTACGAAAAACAAAGTAAGACGGGAAACGAGATACTTTGTTTACTTATACATATGCATTTTATTAAACATATATACATTTTTCATTATTATTATTATTATTATTATTTTTCATTTTCATTTAGGATTTTTCTAAGTTTCATTAATTTTCAAATAAAAAATACATTTGCGTAATTCTAGTGTTTTATTTATACCGACGTCTATGGACATCTATGTTACAAATAGTATAGAAAAATGTCTAGTATGTGACAGTGACGTCTATAGCCGTGATTGTTTTTTTTTACATTATTCAGCTTTTTTAGAAGTCAAATAACATATATTATATAAGTGTTACTATAATATTGCAAAATTTAGTGAAGTTACAATAGTGTCACACAAAGCATCTCCACCTGTTCACATGTGTCCGTCAACGTGTTAATGACATTGCTGGTGTAGTCGAAAGATGCTCAATACACCTATTTGCAGATGATACACTGATATATTTTACCCATGAAAACACTGAAACTTGTTTTAAAGAAATTAATAAGTAAAATATATGATTATTATAACGGAAACTCGTTGAAAATAAATTACGAAAATACAAAGTGGATGTTAATTGGGGGTACTGGAAAATTAAAAAAATTAAACGTAGCATCACAGTGTGTTTCTGTTGATGGAATAAAGTTTCAGAGAGTTGAAAAATGTAAGTATCTAGGGGTTATGGTTGATACAATTTTACAATTTAAGAAACATGCTAATAACGTGATCAAAACCATATCTTTTAAAATAAACTATTTGAGGCACTGTTCTCCACATCTCAGCAAATGGGCTAAAATAATAATTTATAATACTCTAATATTACCTCATTTTAATTATTGTGCCACTATACTGTATTTGCTCAAGCAGAATGAGTTGCAACGATTGCAAAAGTTGCAGAGTAGAGGTATGAGGATAATACTGAGCTGTTCGAGATTGGAACCAATCAATTCCATGTTGAATGTGCTTCAGTGGTTGCCTGTTAAAAAATATTTGCTATTCTATTCCCTGCTTTTTATATTTAAAATTAAATCAGGAATATCGCCAGTATATTTACAAAATATTTTAAGTTATAATCAGGATGTTCATGAACATAATACACGTAATAAGAACAATGTTAGAGTTTATAAGGCCACGAAAAAATGTACACAAAATTCAATGTTTTTTAAAGCTGTGCAGGCTTTTAATAATTTGCCTGAAGATATTAAATGTTCTTCAAACGCGGCAATATTTAAAATAAAACTGCGTGAGTATCTGTTGACCTATTGACGTTTTTTTTTTCTCTTTCTTGTTCTTTTATTATGTTTTGTATAGTTGACATGTAAGTGTACTGTATCTTATGTATTTTTTATTGTATTTTAAATGTATGTTGATTCTATATTTATGTATTTTTTATATTTTAAATGTGAAGATGTATTGACGTGTAAAAAATAGATTTTTTGACTAAATAAACGATTTATATATAATAGTCTAGAAATTTGCTTTGATCTATTATACTATAGTGAACTCGTTTTTCATTATACTTTTAAGATTCATTAAACTATTTAGAATCAAAATTACAATGAATTTTCAATTCGGTGTATGAACGTGTCTGCGATATGCCTGTTCGCTGGTGGGGGTTTCGGAAAAGGCTGTAAAATATTACATTGAAAGAAGGCAGGAAGTAGTAAGTCGTTTGGAGTCGATACAAAAGCAGTTTAACCTAGTCTTGATCCAGACACCATGAACCAGCAAAAGGAAACAAATATAAAATTTCTTTTGGTTGAAAAATAAATATCATTTTCATTCCGTTTCTTTGAAAAAGCCATGTTTATTTGGTTTACTAAAACTGAAATGTGATTTTATTTTGTGATTATTTATGCATTTTTACTCGGTAGATGTACCGTCACTGACATTAGCCGGCACAGCATCCGGCTGGATGCAAAGCCAGATCGAGCGTGTGGCGTGTGTCATAGCGAGAGTATACAAATTTGATGTATTTGGTTATATTTATCATAATATGGAGACTTAAAATGAAACACATCTTGATTATTATTTCTTTATTTTTAGCCACTTTTGCGATTTTGTACTAGTTGTGCTTTAGTTAGGTACTTTGACTATTTTTTAACGAATTTACTTTATTTTGTTCTTATCTAACGTCTAAACAAGTACTTGACTAATTCAGCTGTTTTATTTAATTTTTCTTTCGTATTACCATAATTGTTGTAGTTTTGGGGTAAAATTGTATTTTTAATACGTAGTAAATACGTATGTCAGTAACACAAAGCAGGAACGACGATTGTGATTTACATTAAGGAAAACTTAAACTATGAATATTCTATTATTCAAATGGGAAATGTCAAAATCTGCCATACAAAAATTTTATTTCAAAAAACTCGTTATCACTACGATAACACATATTAACTTTGAATACATATAGTGAGGAAAGCTTAGTTCATACAGATGCGAATCACGAATTGCGAATTGCGAATAACGTTCCGATTGGTCAATTTTAAACCAACATAGTGCCAACATGACGGCATGACATTATTTTTAATATTTTACGAATTCGCATAATTTAAAATTTAGGGGGCGGGAAAATTGGGCTGAGTTTAATTTATTCGCACGATTTGGTGTTGTGAACGAGTGTTTTGTGGTTGACACATTTTAAATTTTAAGTTTTGTGGGTTTCAGAGTGACGCCATACTGCCATATACGCCATTTTATAATTTGTTTATTGATGTTAGCTGATTTGTGTTTGATTTATTTGTATTTGATTTATTTGTATTTAATTTATTTGTTTGATTTTTTGTGTTTATTTTGATTAGTTGTAATTTAATTTAGTTGTTTTATATTTATATAAATTTGTTTCCGACATGGAAAGGGACGAGGTTTGTTAATTATTTGTACATATCACAAAAAAATTCTAATGTTTCTCTGGTTTAATTTTAGTCTCAAGTCGAATGTAGCGATTGTGGAGCCATATTCACCTTAAATAGATTCCAGTTTCATGATTGTTCTGGTAATACACAAGAAGAAGAAGAAATTAATAGCCAATTGTCTGAGCCAGAATCAGAATTGGCCAACTATCCTTCCTCCATGGAATCAGCAACTAAATCAAGCCAACCTGATTCGGACAGTGAAGTCTGTGGTGAAGTTAATGAGGAAAATTTAATTTCGAAGTTAGCAGAAGCTGTGCAGGCTAGAGATGCTCTTTGGGACCACACTTTGCCCTTAAAACGGAGGAGCAAAGAAATTAAAGAGAAACTCTGGATGGAAGTGGTGAATCAACTTAATGGTTTAATTCCATTAAACCAGGTGGAAAAAAAATGGAGAAGTTTAAAAGACACTTTTTTAAAACATATGAAGTTAGTTTCATTTTTATAATAGAATATATTATTCTAGTTTTGTCATTTATCAAATAAACACATTTTGTCTTGAGGTTATGCTCAA